TGGGGATTCGAACGTGCTCCTATATACTGCCTAGCGGGTCCTGATAAAAGAACTAAAGTAAAACAGAACATCATTGTGTAAGGCGGAAATATTCTATCCTATGCATGTCATTATAGTTAAACAGGAATCTGGTCGAAAATTCTATGTCAATTATCCATGCATTCTACATATTGTACCATTACATCTCGTACTAACAAACAACTATAAACTAAGATGCAAGAGGCTAAAACTTGGTTAAATATTAACTAACTAATCTTTCGCCACTGAATTACGCACTAATCAATTTATACAAAAGAAGTCAATAGACCATGAGCATTACAAACAGACATTTAAATTTCTTCAAACTCCTTTCATTTCATGCTTTCGAACTGTTACAGTTGACACCAAAATGGGACTCGAAATGTGTACCTGAATATTGAAATGCAAAGAAGAAGTGAAGCAGAATAGCAGCAGCAGGAAGCAGAATAGCAGCAGCAGCAACAGCAGGTAACCAATAGAAACAAAATCCCAGTGCAAGATGCAGTTTGGAGCCAATGAAAAATGGCAGAGTGTAGCAAGTTCCCAGTAATATGAATCAGAATTTAGGCAAAACAGATCTAGGAATGCACTGATGCTACACACAACTAAAAATCTCAAACAGGACTCAGAAGAAATCAATATGGATCAGGGAAATCCAGGCCAGTGAGGATCAAGACAAAGATGAAAAAATGCAGTCCTCTTTCCTGTGTTATGCCTCTCTCTATCTATTTCTGTCTGTGTGTGTATATACTATCCTTTCCTTCTTCTCAGATCTCCTAATGTCTCTCTAATATCATGTGTCCCCCTATACTTTTCTTCACTATTCCCTCTGTCTCTCTCTATATGTTCTGTGTGTATTCCTTTCCCAGAACTTCGGCTCTCCTTCTTCTCCTTAATTCCCTTCCCAGTTCTCTCTTATATCTTCTATCCTTTCCTTAACAATTCCCTCTGTCCCTATCTATGCCTTCTCTGATCTCTATTCTCAGATGGTGTTCTTTTCCTCTCCTCATATATTGTCTGTCTGTCTGTATGTATATATCTGTATGTATTTCAGCTCTCCTCCTCTTCTCTCCCAGTTCTCTTATGTCTCTCAATGTGCCTCTCTTTTATAAGCCTTCACATTACCCCTTTTACAGCCTGATAGATTAAAAGAAACTCCTCCCATGTGCCATCTTCTTTTCAGTTCCACTTTAGCTATTTAAGTATTAAACCCCATCATATTCCCTTGGCAGGCTTAATTTCCCATTTTATTAACTAAAAGCAGACATGGGCAGCAGGATGTAGTCTGACAGCACATGTTATCAAACTATTTAATTCAAAAGGGCCTTTATGCCCATGTTGTGCACATGCCCTCCAGTTCAGATTACCATTACAGCATAACCTTAGATTTCTGAAATCACATTAACAACTATAAGTAACTGAACTTAGTTCTTAATTGATTCAGGCAATGTTCAACAGAAGCAAATCGATTTATTCTTGTTTAGACAGTTGAAACTAATTGACGACATATGTCGACTCGACTATATTAGCATTAACACATACAATCGTAGCCAAAATCAGACATTTAACAGTATCACATAAGGGGTTCATATTGCAATGTTAACACAGAAAGGCCCTAGGAACTAAATGAATGAACCAATTCAATACTCACTTGATTGCACAGCTTACACATACCATTATCNATCGTTGGATGAGATGTGATGAAGGGCCAGGATCCTTCGACTAATAGGGAACGACGTCGTTTCAAGGGTAAAGGGTTTGGGTTGGTCCGGGTGGAAACGGGTCGGGTTCCTCAGTGGGTTATGGGGAATCGATCTTGACCGTTGATCAATTTGAGATCAACGGCCCAGATCAACCTGGATTAACACGACGTCGTTTGGACGCTCTGGTGTTTAGCTGGTGTGGACCGGGCAGGCCTGGTTTTGGGCTGAGTTTGTTTGGGCCAATTTATTTAAAATTGGCCCAAGTCCGGAAG